TTTTTTTTTTGTTTTAGGTTTATATTCCACGTTTGCCATTGTGTCCTGGCAAGGACAAGTGGCTGCCACTGCCACTGCGACTGTAGTTAATGGCTGTTGCTTAACGCAAAACTCTTTGTCCGCAGGTGACGGTCATCGATACCGCCGATCCGGATTGGTGGAAGGGCAAAGTGCTGGGACGCGTCGGCTTCTTTCCATCGAAGTACTGTGTGCGTCTGAATGCCAACGAGAAGCCATTACAGGTGACACACAATCTGCAGGTGTCGGATGGCGAGCGCGGCGAGAATATGACCCTGTTACGCGACCAAATTGTTATACAGGTAAGTTTGGCTATAACTAACTGGCGGGTGCTGCATAAAGCGAGAGTTGTGAAGTGCTTAAAACTCTTCTCTATCTCCATCTCTCTCTCTCTCTCTCTCTCTCTCTCTCTGTCTCACTCACACTCTCTTTCTATAGACTGGCGATGAGGTCAACGGCATGGTCATGGTGCGCTCGGCGGACAATCGTCAGGGCTATTGTCCCATCAAGTACCTGCAGGAGGTGTGACAGCCAGAAGAGGAAGAGCCGCCTGCAAAATCATCAATGCAAACGTCGCGCGCCGCAGCCGCAGCCGCAACCGCAGCCGGCGCCGGCGACAAGACCAAGCGTAGAATTAGAATCGTAGTTACCGATAATAACAATTTAGCTAGTAGCAGTAGCTCTATACCCATCACCCATGCACAATCACAATCACARACGCAATCACAGACGCAGACGCAGACGCAGACGTCGCCCAGCCGGGAGAAGAAGCGCCTGAACATCGAGTACAGCGATGCGGATGGCGGACTCATCTGGGACAAGGACAAGGATGTGCTGATACTGTCGGGCCGCAACAAGAACGACAAGAACTGGGAGAACTGGGAGCGCATACGCGAACAGAAGCTGGAGAAGATGAAGAACATCTGCTTCGAGAGCTATCGCCAGTCGAAGCGGGACAAGCTGCTACTGGCCAAGCCGAAGCCCAAGCAGCTGGACCCCACCTGGTACACGGACAACATCTACTCGAATCGCTCGGACGATCTGGACGAGGACTATGTGCCCGACTGCCTCAAGTACGGCAGCTACAGCAATCGCATTCTGCGCGACATACGCGAACAGGACGAGAAGTATGCGGAGGATGCGCTGCCGATGCGCGAGCGCCGTGGCGAGGGCGAAGGCTCGCCGGGCTACGGACTGCAGCGCTCGAAGAGCTGCAAGGAATTCCAATATCCAAAGTCGCAGAGCTGCTGCTTCGAGGGCAACGTGTTCGAGGCGGGCGGCACAGGCGGCACGGGCAGCTCGGGCGCCACGGCCACCACATCCATACTGAAGAATCGCGCTGGAGTGCCCAAATCGTACTCGTTTAGCGCCTCCACAAAGACCATGCCCTTCGACATCATCGACTACGAGCTGCCGCCCGCCTCGAACACGCGCCGGGAAAAGCGCGAGGCGTACAGACGGAGCATGAATATGCTGTATAGCAACAGCCTGGACGAGCGGACGCTGGCGCACAGCTGCTGTGCGCGGGAGCAGTGCACCAGTGCCAAGTGCTTGCTGGACGATATCTATGCTGGTTCCAGGCGGCGGCTGGATGCCTACGGCGCTGGCAGCAACAGGAATCTGAATTTGAATCTCAATTTGAATCGCAACCTGCGCTCGCCCGACGATTGGCTGTACGACGAGCGCGTCGAGGCGGCAGCAGCAGATCATCGTCATCATCATCAGCAGCAACGGCTGGGCCGGGGCCAGCGGCTGCCAATGGCTGCACAGGCAACGGCAGCCGGCACGACCGTGATCTGCTGCTGTGCGACAGAGGACTATTGCTGCCATCGCCAGGCACAGCAGCGGGCGGCAAGGCGACCCCACTGTCCGGGCCATCATCCGGCCGCCGAAGAGGAGGAGCATATGCATTGCCGCTACGACACCGACCTGGAGCAGTTCATACGCGCCGAGCGTGAGCGCCTGCTGCTGCAGGACAAGTTCCTCGACGAGGACGAACGCTACTTGGCCCAGAGCCACATGGCCAGTCCAGGTAGGCGGTACGCCCACTATACGCGGCCCACGCGCAGCAAATCCCTGCTGGAGGTGCAGCCGCCCAGCTTGTTCGACGAGGACAGCTGCTCGGATACGACAGAGATCGACCTGGAGGACTTCAACATCGACCTGGAGAAGTACTGGGAGCAGCTGGACAAGCCGCCCAGCCCCATCAACATGGACATGCGACGCAACATGCACAGCAATCTGAAGGTGAAGAACGTGAACGTGCGCTGCTACAACAACGGGCAGCCCATCGATATGCACGACCGGGAGCACGAGCGGCTGATGATCAAGAAGTCGCTGCTGGAGGGCATGCCGTCGCCGCCGCAGCTCGACTCGAGCGGCTCCTCGAACAATGCGACGGGCTTTAGTTTTTTTGAGAATCCCGCTGGTTCGCTGCACCACCACCACCACCAACAACAACAACAACAACAGCACCACCCCCACCAGCCGCGGCACCATGGCATTGCAGCGCCACCAGCACCAGCCTACGGTGGGTACGGCCACAAGGTCTACCCCACTGCCGATACCCTGCCCACGTATCAGTACAACAACTTCTATCCGGAGCACACGACGCTGGGCAGCGTGCTCACCCAGCAGCCGACGGCGGGCGTCCACCATGCCTCGGCCGGCGGCCACTCGGCGCTGAGTCTGATCAACAACATCTTCTCCATCTACAAGCCGAACAAGTACTCGCCCGAGAACTGCCAGCTGAACTACGAGAGCAAGCCGGAGCCGTGCAAGAAGATGAACGTGCCGAGCACTCGACGACCCCTGGGCGCCGCCTCCAGCAACATGCAGCATGGCCACGAGTATCTGCACTCGTCGATGAAGCGCCCGCTGCTGGTCAGCGCCGACCAGCCGCACTTCAAGATCATTCCCGAGAAGACGGGCCTGAAGATCTCGCCGTTGCTGGCCTATGACGARTACGGCGGCGGCGGGATCGGGGGAGATAAGTCACATCAGAGGCTGACCAGCACGGCGCGACCTCTGATGCTTCCGCACTGATGGTGCTGGACCTTTCCGTGGTATGGTAATGGTAATTATTGTTAGTTATGCTCACAGCGACTGCCGAGAATCTCCAAAAGAAAACAGAAACTGAGAACTAAACACAACTAAAGGAAAAACCAAAAAACAAAAAAAAAAAAATGGAACTAACCAAAAGACTCGCTCGACAAGCAGCAAAAATATAAAACCAAAATAACAAAAACAAAAAAACAAAAAATAACAAAAAATTAGAAAAATAAACAAACTGAAAACAAACAAAAATCCAAACGCACAAATTGGCCCCCAGTTGAGTCCAGAGTACGTTTTTTTTTTTCTTGCGACTCGGGATCGGGCTCTCAACTATTGTTGTAGTGGAACCTCGTCTTCGCCCCGCTTTTTCCATTTTACAGCCAGGTCGTTAATGTTGAGAACTTTGTGGGATAGAGCATTGAAGCATCATCACGTCGTTTGTCTGACACTCAATTTTCACAAGCGATAAAAACTACCAACAGCAACAACAGCAACAACAACAACAAGAAACACCATCACCAACAACAACAAGAACAACAACTGCGCCATACCATTGGAAATAAAACTGAAGTAGGAGAGCATCAGGAAGTGAAACGTCTTCGATACGTAGCGAAAATGTAAGCTTAGAAATAAAGAGTAATGAGTAATGAGTAACGAGTAGGAAGTAAGATGTATCTAGTCACAAGTAACAAGCACTGAATAGGAAGTAACAACTTGCGTATAACAAGTAACGAGTTAGATATAACGAGTGGAAAGTGACGAGCTATGGAAGAGCAGAGAAAGTTTCTCAATTCCATTTGCTTTGACTTTGTTTGTCACTTCAGAAGTAACGAGAGACTTGTAACGAGTAAAGCTAAAAGTATTCAGTTAGAAGTAACGAGTAGCAACTGCCGAGTGTAAGAAAGAACAACTAACAAAGAACAAGTCAAAAGTAGCGAGTCAAGTCTTGCAAGTAACGAGTTAGAAATAATCAAAAACAGCTGACGAGTAAATAGTTATGAGTAAAAGGTATCGATTAACAAGAAGTAACGAGCCACGAGATCTAAGTAAAAGGCAACTAGTAATACATAACGTGAATTTTCGAACGAGTAGCTAGGCAAGAGCAATAAGTAAAACGCAAGTACTAGCGATTTAGTGCGAAAACTTGTAGCGAGTAGGCGTTACTTACATCACGAGGCAGCTAACGAGTAGCAAGTTAAGAGCAACAAGTGACAATTGTGAAGTGACTAGTAGCGAGTAACAACTAACGACTAATAAGTAACAAGTAACTAACGAGTAACATTTAAGAAGTAACTAGCGAGAAGTAACGAGTAACAAGTAACGAGTAGTTTTTTTTTTAAGTTTCGTTAATGAAACCGGATTAAGAAAGAGCTGTCACAGCAGCTTAGCTTTGACTTTGACAAACGCAGAAACACATATAAGTACACATGCTCACACACACTCACACACACACACACATAGACACAAACAAATGTGCTTTTAAATCGCTTGAGAAATCGCCGCATCTAGTTAATATAGAATAAGCATGCATGCTATGTGTATGCTAACACTAATTTTTCGAGCAACTTTTAAGCAATCAGCAGCGTATACTATATATATATAAACATATATATATATATAGAAAGAAAGAGTACTTCTAGGCTAGGCTTAAGTCATTCATATCCGTGTTTCACATTGTATTTAGTGTTGAAAGCGACAGCATCTTGTATACCCTGTAATACAACCTTGTAGCAGCTAAGCAGATTTTATTACTACAAACTATTTGAGGATGGAAAAAAAAAAACAAAGAAAAACAAAAACAAAACGGAAAACAAAAACCAAAAAATGATTTGAGACAAAATGTTTTTATTGCCACAAAATTTTTCTATTTTTTATACCAAACAACTTTAAATGCAGAAACTAAACAAACAAGAAAAAATATGAAGTAAAACCTACTTAGAAGCGAAAGGAACGAGAGGGAGGGAGATAGAAGGAGAAGTTATTTGATTAGTGGAATATTTATAAGGCTTGACTCTATAAGTTGCGGCTTCTAGGCACTGACAGAACTTTAGTCTTATACAAGATACAAACACACACACATATGCATACCTGCAGACAGTTGTGTATGTGTGCGTGCGCTTTTTATAACAACCACTAGAGATCGTATAATGTACATAAGATGTTTACTAAACTTAGTATTTATAAATGATATAGTATATGTATGTATGATTGTACTTTTATGATGTATGCGTATCCACTGGCCTTATTTATATTGACAAAGTAACAAAGGAAACCGAAACACAAGCTGACAGAGAGACGCCACTCACGGACACACACACACACACACACACACAAACTTATGCACTTAATATATGAATTTATTTGCGTAAAACTTTTGAGCGCACCTGAGAATTAATTGTATTGATTCCAAATATATATTTCTAAGGCTTTGATTTCTGTTTTTTTGTTAATTATTTTGGCGTCCAATTTTACACTGAACATAAGTATTAAATAAATAAATATATAT